TGATAATGTTTCACTGTAGACCTATGAATCACAATCTAAATTGAGACAGAGATAAATAGAAAGCAAGCTATTTCAGGTGAATAGGGACTTGAAAAAAAAAAATCTATACATTGTACTGCTTTTGGCAGGCAGAAGAACATTAATAAAGAAGTAAGGGCTGAGTGGCATGGATATCATCACACTAGCTAAGAATAGAAAAGCTCTGTCTGGTCTATCGTAGAAGAGGTTGATCACTCCATTTAAAATATAGGAGTACTTCATGGTACAGCGGGCATTTAAATACTCTATTAAAGAACTTCCATTCTTATTCAAAGTTGCTAGCAAGATACATCCCCTGAAAAAACAGTCAATTGTCACTGACTACAGAGCCAAAAATTTAGCCATGAATTAAAATAAAAACAATAAAATAATTTCAAAGGGTTTAACAATAAAAAAAACTATGCAGCCATGCATAATTCATGTTACATGATGTAAAAGTTACTGAGACTGTCAAAATAATATTTTCCATTAGTACATAGCATCACTTTTTAAAGTCATAAATCACTAGTAATATTTTACTATCTAGCTGAAAATAAACTACTGAGAATAGTCTCTTCAAATGTAAATATCTCTTGTATTGATAAATTAGAGAAAAAACAAAGGATTTAAGACAGGTCTGGCAAAGGACCACATAAACATATGGATCAACGTCCCAGCTGGGGGACATTGGAAATGTTTCCTTTCCCTGAAAACATTTTAGAGAAGGAAAAAAAGGAGGAGAGGAGAGGAGAGGAGAGGAGAGGAGAGAAAAATGCTCTTGAATTCTCTTCCAAAAACTGCTGCATGCACATTCACATTACGAGATAAAAGAAGCAATACATTCACACAGCTGGCAGATATCTTCCTGTGGGATAAATAGACTATTCTTTTCTCTTTTCCAAAGTATTGATGTAAAAGTAAAAAAAAAAGAAAAAAAAAAAGGGATGGCAGAAAACAATCTCAAGTTCTCTGCAGTTATGTTACGGAATTTCAGTACTGCACAAGGCTTGTAAAAATATCCTGTAGTTATGTAGCATGTGAAGTAGTTATGCCACAACTGTTATTGCTTTACTGACTGTATCTCTGAATAACTATCAGTAAAGTAACCTGTTTTTTACCAGATCTGATCTCAAATTGGTTCTGGGGCTGTTTCAGAAGATATAATAAAAATATTAGGACATATTTTGCTCTTTTTTTTTTTGTCTCTAATTTTTGCCAAGATATCATACCAATTATACTCACTTTGTACTCTCTTTTTTTTTTTTTTTTTTTTTTTTTTTTTTTAACTATACAAAGCACTTGGGAAAGCAGAATCTGATTCTTGACCTCTTAATTAAGAGTAATGAGACACCAGAGCAACTTTGAACCATTTGAGCGCAGAAGAATTCCTTTTTGGGTAAACAAACAGTTTATCCATGATACTTCATGCAAATTTTCATATATTGTTATCATTTGAAGAACATTTCATCTTACACCTTAATCTGGTAAAGAATCTCCATCATGACTATATTGCTGAATGTCATTATTTTATTTACATTATTTTTCTATTCTGAGAAATTCTGAAATCTGATCATATGTCTACATCTATATTCTGTTGCTTGCTTTCACAGAAGTCTGTGCCACAAAGTCCTCATTGACAGACTTACCTATGTAATTTAGCAGGAATATCTGTGTTCCACAGAGTAATAACAGTACAGATAAAATCTGAAACTTCTAAATGGGAAGGTAGCGCAAATTAAATTATAATCCAGGTTTCAGTTCTGGTTAATATAGTAACCTCAATAGTATCAGTTTAAATTCACCTGTGTGAATACCAAAGAAAGCTTACATTTCATTTTGAACTTTGTGCCCACGAAGTTGCATCCTTTTAAAGGCAGCTCCAACTTTAGCTTAACCAACCAATCTTGAAAAGTAAAACCATAAATTATGAAGCATTAGGCATAATGCAATTCTCCAATTAAATAAATAAATTTACTCTATTAAAGATCTGTTGATTTACTGTTGTAAACTGAAGAAATGGATTTTACAGTGAGTTGCTCATTTATCTGGAGTAGTAAAGGCAAATTAGCGTTTTTCTAAAAAATTATACTTATTGTGAATCAATAAAAAAATCCAAAAACTAAAGAGGGCAAAAATAATCAAAAGCCATTTTAATAACCTATAAAATGTTTCTTCTGGTATTTTGGACAGATCTGTGTATAACAAAGAATATAAAATTCCTTTAAAAGCACCTCATTTTCCTGGACTTTAACTATCAAGTAATGTATATTCATCATACAGAGACAGATCTATTCCTGTTGAAAGGATGAGACTAACACTTAGCTTTCCCAAAGCTCTCACCCTGGTGAAGAATACAAAAACTTTTCAAAGCAAAATTATACATATGCTATCAGCAGCAAGCTAAAATACTGGCAGCATGGAAGTGGAACTGAAGTTTACTGTTGATTTAATCAAAGTAAGGTGTCATCCAAGAAATTTAAAATATTTATTACTGATGAATGCACTATTAAAAGGTAGATAAAGCCTGACTAATAACAGTTCTCCTATAACCACTACATTAAAAAATGCCTTCTCCAAGATCTGCTTTTAATAACATATTTAATTTGCAGAGTAGATTGAAGCTGTAATGTTTCATCTTTGCTGTTGATAGACTTCCTTTTCTCAAGATCAGAGGGTATAAAGATCTTGTTTATGAGCATCTACTGGGAGCTAAGCAAAATTGATTTTTCCTGTTCTGAGAAACCTCAATTCTTTAAATGGGAAAAGATTAACTTCTATTCAACATTATCTTTTTTTGTAGCAAGATTAAATACATACACTGGAAATATGGATGTTTTAGTTTTGAGCTTTAAAGTGCTCCAATCAAGTGAGGTGGCCTAAATAGTGAATATTATATCCAACATTATCATTTAAAAATGTAACTCTGATAAATGATAATTTTTTTGTTTGGTTTATAGTGTGCTGAAATCTTTAAGTGGATTACCTAATATAAGTATTAGACTGACAGATAGAAACCCAAGGAAACTTACTACCTAACTAACTACAAATTCAGATACAAATAGCTGAGGTCAGTACTTCCTTGGCCAGACAAAAAGGACTAAATGAGCTTGCAGACCTCTACTGCATCTAATTTATTTTTTATTAAATCACCTCACTGCCAGAACTCTGGTTAAACAGAGCCACAGAAGAGATCTAGTTTGCCTACTGCTTTTTGTAAATAACAACCTTAATCTCCAGATCTTGGGTAATGTAAATACAATTTAAAAAAATGTTTCTAATGCCTAGAGTTATATTAACATTGAACAGACTGACAGAGAAACCTAGAGGTACTGTTTCCAAAAGTTATTCCTTTGCATAATAAAATAGATGCTAGGCTGAAGCAAGCAGTCAGAGAAGATACTCAAGGAATCATAGCTCAGGAGCTCTGATCTGAACTGCAAGCCTACCCTGAGGGACCTTCTTACTTCTTCCACCAGATGGACATTTCCTCTCCATGCAAATAATTGAATTGTATGAGTATGCTAGTGGACTACAAAGGCAGAAATAATTTCAGTTCTGAAATAACTTATGTAAGTAATCTGAAAAAAAGAATTGTAGCTTTTTTTTTAAAGTCAGACCAATAATTTGTCTGGCTTAATTTCTGCTTTGATAAGCAGCCATGTTTAGTGATAAAAAGCAAATAGAGATAGGAAAGCAGATATGGAATTCCTATCCCATTTCCATTACCAAAATCACTGTTTAAAATCAAGTTTCAGAAGTCTTCAGTGGTGAAGGTAGGAACAGTGTAGCTTGAAATTATTTAATTTACATATCTACTACAATATCAGCTCAACCATTTATTGTAACATTGAAATAAAATAAGTTTAGTTTTAAATTTGAAAATAAGATTCAGAGGGATCAGGCTAGGCATTATTTTTAATCTTCTTTCAAACTAAAAAACAGCACTAAACTCCTTCAACTCATTCTCTCCTAACTATGAAATACAATAAGACATTGAATGAGGTCTATTTCCACTTGGGATGATGAGAAAGAGATTCTCTTTACATTCACTGTATCAAACCAATAAACCAATAATCAAAACCAGTTGTCTTCTGAAGGCTGTTCTATCATTTGTGTGTAATGAACTTCTAAGGACTAAATGACTACAGTTCAGCCCCTGTCATCAGGAAATCTCTGTACCTTGCACCAGAGTTGTCAGTTGATCAATACTGAACGGGCATGCATAGAAAAATACTTCAAAAGGGTTTTTTTCTCCTCTTTTTCACTCAGAATTGGAAAGGAAATCAAAACAGATGAGTCAGATAGTTAGAGAGCCTCTGGAAAGTACATGAGCAGCTGTACAGAAAGTACATAGGCATAAGTGAATCTGATCTTTTTCTTTCCTTCTTCCTTTTTCCATCTTCAAGCAGGTTCCTTTTAAAGAAAAGCTCATTCTTCTTCATTTAAATGTCTCTTTTTTTTTTTTTTTTTTTTTTTTTTTTTTTTTGCTGCCACACCATTCATAAATATTTTCACTTGTTTTTTGTTATTGCTGCTGTTTTTTCTGTTTGTTCATTTCTTTGTTTTTCTTAGTTTTGAGGCCAGTGTACAGTAACATCCTCACTATAAAGCACAGCAATAAAAATCCATTACTCTCCATGGGCAGTTATAAGGTTTAATTTAATTCTCTGAGGAGATCCTACAGACTATAGAAATGCACTTTTGAAATGATCCTTGCTATCTAAAGTCTGGCATGTGAGACATTGGTACTGTGACATACATCTATGTCCTTTAGTTCCACTCCTTATTTCCTACTCCTCTTAAAATAAACTTTTGTTAAAGCAAAATAATTATTTTCTGATGTGTTTGTACTTTCACCTAAATTACTCCATTTATATGTGCAGTACTATTGAAAAGTTACAGAGCCAGATACTGCCTAAATTTGCATAAATTTCTGTTTTGCGTATATCAGAAATTAAGAAAGTGATGAGAAATTTCCTTACCTGGATGAATAACTTCTATTACCTTCTCAGAGACTCCATCTGGGTAAGTTACAATGGAGCAAAAGTAAAGACCAACATCTTCCAAAGTGCTTTTGTTGAAGGATAAGGATTGGTCTTCCCTGGAAGTATTTTCAAAATATATTCTTCCTCTGTATTTGTCTTCAATATGTATGCCATAGGTAGGATGCAAGACAGCAATATTTTCTTTATGACTTCCATTTTGTTTCATCCAGGATGTCTGTATTATCACAGCTTTTTTTGGATATATGCATTCCAGTTTCATCTTCTCTGAAAGCTTTATAGTTGAATCCGCAAACCTTCCTTCCACACTAGCTAAAACTAAGAAATACATTCAGTTTAATTATAAACATTATTAAAAATTGAAATTATAGCAAAACTCAGAAATGATATTAGCAGCATCAGAAGTAAAATTTTGAAGAAAATGTTCATTAAAAATAACCACTATCCCCCGATACTGTAACTATTTCTAATGTATGAGTATGACTGGAGAGTTAATATTTGTCTGAAGCACACAGTGACACACTTATGAGTTGTAATCATATCCGTAATTATGTAAGAAGAAGAAAGAAATATGATAGGAAATATGATAGGAAAGAGATCTTACTTCTACAAAGTTGGAGAACAGCAACAAAGAAAGCTGCATGGTCCATCTCAAAGAACACTGGAATCAGTGACTGGCACTATGTGGCTTTGTGCAGACTCTGCACACCACGTGCTGTTCTCAGGGGGAAGGTTTTACTTTTGAAACATGAAAAACATCACGAGTTTTTACTTTCACATTCTAAAAATTGCATCAAAGATGCACTGAATTCTTATCTAAAACTATCTCAGAGAAAAGTTTTCCACTACTATTGAATCTCCAGCCATAGGATAACTGATGTAGATGATAACTGATGAGATTTTCAGGTTTCATCAAAACAAGCCAATAGAATTCTTCTGTGCCATTTACCCCAAATCAACATCTGTCTGCTATTCAAGGAGTAAGAAATGTGAAAGAGAAGACAATTCCTATACTTTAGAGGTCATAATCTCATTGCAAAAATATAATGTCCTTAAAAATAGGAAAATACTATAAACAAAACCTTGCTTTTTTTTTTTTTTTTTTTTTTCCAGAAACCTGGGCTTCGTATTCCAAGTGATGCAAACTTAACAAAAATGATGTATACTTAACAAAAATGACTCTCAATGAAAATTTCTTACAACCTTCTTTTAATAGAGTCTTCATTTATGTATTGTAGTCTTTTCAATTATTTTTAATACTCAAAGAATTTCCGCAAGTTCAGGAAATTTATAACAGCACAAGTTTTAAAGAACTCAACCAGCTTCTATGAAGTATCTTCATGTTTTCTAAGAGCAGCACTTATATATTATTTTCCTGGAAAAATCATAATCCAGATACACAAGATACCCCCAGATTGTCAATAGTCCATCTGATCCTATCTGAAAAATCTAAACAGAAAAAAATTAGTTTCATTTGTATTACAGCTATCTTTTCAATCAGATTAAAATATTTACTTACATTTAGCTTATCTCAGGAAATGGAATGATTGCTGGTAACAAAATAATGAAATGAGGAGTTTCAGAAATCACATGTTTTACAGTAGATGTCAGATGTTTGTACACTAGAAAAAAGGATTCTGTGAGTCAATAAGGCCTGGTTCCAGGATGCTATGTGGCATTATGGTCTTTAATCAACTACGCAGGATCTTCATGTTGCTTATATTTAAGTCTTTAATGAACTCACTGGCTAGTTGTTCTCATGTTGCAAATGTAAATGAGGCAAAAAGATGAAGCATCTCTCTACATTGAAATATTCTTTATGTCATACTACATATGCTTATACTAGTTTACAAATGAGTGATGTTTCATAAAATCTGAAGTTGAAGGAAAAGATAAATAGACATGAATATATATTTTAATTATTAGTACAAATGAAACTTCTTGCACATCTGTTTTTTTTTAATTAAAACTAAGATTAAGTACTCAGGAAATCTCCAAAATGAAAACAAATTCCCTTCAGTGAAAATTATTCTTCATTTATTTGTTCATATATAAATTACTATTTTATTGCTCTGGATTTCATGCTCATTTCTCTCCCATATGGCTTTAAGAGCAAAACAGAAATTAAGATATTAACATCCAGCTCCACATGATGGCTAAGTATCAGTAATACTATATGTTGTCTAAACACATTTATTTGTTGTGCAACAGTCACAGTTACTACAAAAATCCAGGGATTCTTGGTCACTTACTTGGTCCTCAAAACAGGGTTCTTTTCCACACCCACTAAAAGCAGCACCCTTTAAACAGAGTATTACCAGTTCTTCCCCTGAAGACTGCACTACAAATCCCCTCTGAACACCTGTGCAGCGTGCCTGGATTCACAAATTAGGAACCTGTAGCAACTATGAAAGCTGACTTCACTGGTATAATGTGGGAGGAGGCACAAGCTTTAATCGTCATGCCCTTCTGGCCTGTGGACAGATCAGATAACATAAGGGAAGGTTATCTTGCAACCTTCCCTCCCACTTCCTTGAACCCCTACAGGCACCAGCAAAAAAAGGCTGGAAAATACACATTTCTCTGAGCATCTGTGGAGAAGAGACCTTCACAGAAACAGCAACTGCTCACACCATGGTCACCTGAGTAGTTCCTTGGTCTCTTCCATTCCAGTTCTCTGCCTGCCATAACACTGCTCTTCTTTCTCAATAATCCCATTTTTCTCTCCATCCTGAGAAGCCCTAGCAAAGGAAGGAGGTGTTCACAGGGATAATCAAGTTGTATTTTGGTAATTGTTCTCTAAGTGCCAATTACAATTTAACAGCAAAAAAACAACATAGCGCAATTTTACAGCAGAATGTATAACTGTAGAGTGGTGGCTTAAAACAAAAATTGGAAAGAAACAAAACAAAACAGAAACAATTGCACAAACACGTTGGAAATATATGGGTTGGATTTTAGTCCTGACTTGAACACACATCTTTTATATCTCTGGGTGCATCATTTCATTTCCCGGTGCATTAATTTCCCCCAGTCCAATATATAGATAAGATATAATGAAGGATGTTGTTTCAAAGCATGTCACAATGATTTCTGTAATTAGATTCTCTAATGGAAATTGCTATAAGTGAGTGAAGAATAAGATATATGCATAGGGCCAGCACAATATGTTAATACCCTTTTTAATGAATTATTAGCATTTAAGATTTAACAGATAAGCCTGCAGCAATACTGCAGAAAGAGAGACAAATCTACTTGCTTCTGCTTCTTCCAGGAAAAAGGCCTTGGCTGCGGCAGTGCAATGAAGCAGGAGATAGCCAAAAAGCAGATTACTCCAGGTACCACTTATAAACATGACCAGTGGAAAAATGGTCAGGGCAAGGGGACTGTTTTGGTGAATCTTCAGTGAAGAGAATGAAGAAAATGGACTGGAAGGAGGGATTGCTTTGAGTAGTTCTGTCTTGGCCTCTGCGTCTCTGGAGATCAGCTCTTCTATCTAGAAGCCAGGCTAATCAACTCAGAATGGTAGTTCAGCAACAAATGACATAACTCTCTCCGTGGATAACAGTCTTTCTCTAGATTACCATAAAGGAAATCACCTTCTCTTCCATTCACTATTCTTGGTTTCTTTAAACAGAAGGGCTGAGCAGTGTAGTTGGATAAAGGCAAATAATTCAATTTCCTCTCTCCTATTCTGCATTGTGCTAATCTAATTGCACTAATAAAGACCCCAAATTGGATTAATCTACATGCATGCCTGATGCAGTAACATAATGGATAAGATTCTTTAGTATGTATTCATTAACATCAGAGCAGAAGTTAACACCAAGAACTCTTCCAAAGAAATTGGAAAAAAATTTGACTTAAATACAGTCACATTTTAGGAGTACATTAGTAAAGACTCTTTACTTCCTCAAAGGAGGAAAAAAATGGTCAAAACTTAAAGTCCTTCTGCAGAGTAGAAATGTAGAGAAAATATGATCTATATATTCAAAATCTTGATGATTTTTTATTTTTAAATGCATTGGCAATTGCTCAGGTTGCACTATATAAGTTATAATTGAACAGTAAATTGTTTCTTCCCCCTATGCTGCAAGAGGATATGTATTCAGGGGTCTTTAGATAAAGACTATGTTTTTACATTTCTAGAACTGGAAAATTATCTGCATTTTTGGAACCAAACTGCTAACTGGATTTTCATTCTAATGTAACACTGAGCACCCAAATGGGTCAGGAAGATAAGACTGTTAGTGATAAAACCACAGCTGCGACATGAAGGCTAGATATTGCTAAATGCTGAGATTCAAGAAGAGTAGTTTCACATTTATTTATTTTCAGGAAGATTAATCACAAGCAATTGATGGAATCGGAACACTGAAAAGCTATGCTGAATGACAAAATATGCTCATGGTGATATGTACTAATAGTATAAAGGTCTGATTAAGGAAGTGGAAGAAACACCACTGCTGAACAAATTTTGAACTAGACACCATAAAGCAATATTGCTGCTGACTTTTAAGCTAGAGGTGTGTTGGTAGGAGATAAGAAGGTCTGTGGTATTTTTTAAGTTCACTGTGTAAGTGGTGATCCTTTGATGTATTCGTGGCTAGACAGTTTGCCTGTGACAACTTACCAAACTTCATAGAAGTTTGTGTCTACTTGTGTGCAGGGGGAATTCTTAAAACAGCAAAAGCACTCCTCTGCTCATCTGAATAAAACAAACGAGAAAGAGAACGAGAAAACAAAGAGAAAGAAAAACTTGAGAAATAACCCCAAGAAAATAACCAGATAATTCATTTCAGTATTGAATATTTTCTTCACATTTTTAATTGTGCAATTGCTTAATGATAGGAGATATCACAAGGCATTTTTCTTCGAACTAAACTTTTTTTATTTGGTGATCTTGTCTGTAAATATTTGCCATTGATTTGTTCAATAAGATACTGAAAATGTACTTAAAAAAATATTTTATAAATTCTTCTCCTCTAAGCATAGGAAGATACTACTGGATTTTTTTTCACATTTTGTTGATAATTGGTTTATGTTATGACCTTGAATCTTTATCTAGCAATAACATGGAAGATGTCATTTGAACAATTTGCAGTATACTGATTTACAAAGGAAAATAATAGATGACATTTGAGTCTCTATGAATTTAATGTACTAATACTGTTAGTCAACTCTGTATGCTGTTCTCTTTTTTGTTGTTGTTGTTAACTTAGTTCTTGTCCTCCTGTTGAAATCTTTTAGCTTGTTAGTTTCAGAAAAGCGGTATTAGTTACAGAAACCCAGAGTTTTATTTTAATGAAAGAAAAATGGAAGCAGAAAAACTTTCAGGTGCTCAAGGAAAGGTCCTTGGGAAGTGATATTTTGGTTTCAGAAGACAGCCGTTCCTACATAACTGTTATCATTCCTGAATTAACCTTCACCTGGTTCATCTCTACTTTTCATGTTAATCATGTTGCTATTAAAAAAAATTCAAACTTCTACTTTAAAACTGTTAAAACCCAGTTTAAGGAAATGAACATTGGTGTATTTCCCTTTTGTTGGCAGAGAGGTTCGCTGAGATGTTTCCTAAAAAGTCCCCTTAAATACAGCTGGGATGTGAAACCCTCCTGAGGAGGTTGAGGTTATTCTGAATTATATGACACTGTCAGCTCAGACAAGTCTTTGAGGAAGATCTATAGCTGACCTT